CCCATCTTCCACTCAGCTGCTAAAATGATCTTCTAAGAGTGCAGCTCTGAGCGTGGCACCGCCTTACTCAATAAACTCCAGTGGCTTTCTGTTGCCTCCGTTATCAAATGTGAAATCGTCTTTGTCATTCACAGCTCTTCATAACCTGGCCCCTCTTACCTTTCCAGGCTTCTTACATCAAGTGCCATTCCATCGTACCAGTTACAGGAGGCGTTGATCTGCCCTCTGAATTCTGAGTTTATCAGTGGGGCAGTCCAGAATCTTACATATTTCCTGAAGACGGCAATAGTAAACATGTACTCATTTATTCCACTCTTGGAATGAACCAAATTCCACACTGCTGGATTTTCCACATACATTCATCATGTTAGTAATTTCCCTTGATAGAAACAGAAGCCATATTTTTATCCAATCCAGCCACCAGCCTGAGGATTCTTCACCTGTTTTGTCCTGGATGCCTTGAGCAGTCAGTCTGGTGAAGCCTGTGGACCCCTTCTCAGACTCATGCATTTAAACTCATGACATAAAATACTTAGGATTAGAAAGGAAACAAACCAGAGGTTAGACAACATGTGTAGCTATGGAAACAAAAGTGACTTGCCTAGTAATCATTGAGCCAGTGAGTATCAGCCACAAGATTCGAACTCAGACTCTTCTGATTTCAGGTCAATGTTCTCCTGCACCTTTCCCATTGCTTGGATGCTGAATAGTGTTGTATCAGATGGGAGGATGTTCGTTTTAGAGTCAGGAAGGCCTGGGTTCAAATCCGGCTTCTGACACTTTACCAGCTCTGTAACCTCAGGCATGTCACTTAACTTTTCCAAACCTACATTTCCTTATCTGTAAAGCTGAGACAATAAAATATGTAGGACCTAAGCCTGGAAGTGGTTGTGAGACTCTAAAAGGCATTTTAAAATGCTTTGCAAACCTTAGAGGGCCATACAAATGTCTGGTTGTGATGAGACGCTCATTACGAGCTTTCCCCCCCATAGACTCGGCCTTTTTAATTGGTAACATTCCAGCGGCTTCCTTGACTGTCTATTAGACCAGCCCCTCCCAGTACCCTTCTTGCTTTCTGATCATTCCATACCTGCAGCATAAGCCAAACATGTTGGGAACAGTTGGGGAGAATACCATCAAATCTTCAGCTATGTTTATTGACCTTTAAGGTGCACCACCCAGTTTTGGGCCTTCTGACTGTCCTGTGCCTGATCCATGAATAGCTCTAAGGGATTAACCCTCAGAATGTGGCATTTTATAATTTTCTTTTTTCTTTCTTTTTTTTTTTTTTGGGTGAGGCAGTCGGGGGTAAGTGACTTGCCCAGGGTCACACCACTAGTAAGTGTTCAGGGCTGGAGCTCTGTCCACTGCGCCACCTAGCTGTGGCATTTTGCTGGTGTATAAGTCTGTACGAAGGGGACGCCCACCGTGGGAAGATCGATAGCAGCATTATGTAGGAGACATTTTCCTAGATACTAAGGCACAAGTGAATTGATATGAACACAGGTGCCAGAGTCTCCACATTTCAAAACACTGGCTGAGGAGCCAGGCACATGATGAAGCTTCTTCCCTCATTGATCTGAAGTGTGTCGCCACGGAGACTTGTAGGGTCAGTCAGAGCTCTCTTCCTCTCTCTCCTCCTACCTCTGTCCAGCACAGGTCGGTAGCCGCCATGCGTTTCAGTGTTTCCCACCAGTCGTTACAGAGCTGCAGAACAGAGACACCTCCCATCCTGTTCAATCTAGAAGAATCTTTTACTATCATCATCTGAAAGTGGCCATGGTAAGTGGTGCTGTGAACTCCCCCCTGGACTGTCCTCAAACACCAATTTTGTTGGCATGAACCCCTCTGTTATCTCAAAAGGCAAAGTTAGAGGCATAAAGAAGATCAACATTCCCCCACCCAACCACCCCAGGATAGTCCAGGGAATTAGCAGCAAACCTTCTCATTGAAGAATGAGATGCCCCAGCGCAGCCTCCGCCCTGCTCAACTCATCACAGAAAAGAAATAAGGACAGAAAAGCATGATCGCACAGAATAACATTGCAGAAAGTCATTTCTCTCTTCCAGTGGGCTGGGAGAGGATTAAATGAGCTTTGAAAGAGTAAAAGATTAGAGTACCTGTTTCATTATAGGGGCGTATATGGCACTGATAATTCCCCAGGGGGAACCATTAGTTTCACATCGCCCTCTCTCTCTGAAGGTTAATGTCTGTAGGAAAAGCCTTTTCCCCTGGAAGAGTAATTCATTCCTTCACTTCTGGAGATCTAGACTTCCCAGGATCCTTACTTAGGTGGTGTTGAGGGAATTTTATATTAAGTATCAGTTAGGGATATGGAAGTACCATTTGTTCCAATCAGTCCCCCGTACTTGAAACAAACCTCTCTGGTCCACTATTATGGAAGAGTAAAAGTCTCTTTCCCCTGGTTGTCAGGGTCTCCTACCCCCTTTGCCATAATAGCTTAGAGGTTAGTCCAGATGTTAAGATGCACGACAAAATAGCCTAAAGATGTCAACTGCCATTTTAGGGGTATCCTTAGGATAATGTATGAGGAATGGGCACCCTTCCCTGGGGGCAGGCGTGTCCATTCCACTGAGTTTGGGGGTTCATGTAGGCTTGTTGGGGGTAGGAGAGGTAACCCTCATCTCCCCACCATTTGTCAGCAAATGCTTTCTAAATATATGAATCTGCAACCATATAGTGGCCTCACAGGCGGAACAAAAATGCCTCACTTAAAATTTATCCAATTTGAGTCATATTTATCGAACCATATTTAGAGTCACGAATAACTGGGTTGTAGATGATGGGGCCAAGAATATGGCTACTTATTCTCCGATTGTTCCCATGTATAAAAATGCTCTTATCTTTCCTGGGGGGTTTTTAAGTGTTCCATCTACTAGTGACCCAACCCACATGAAGCACAAGTGGGGAGGCCAGCTTGTAAGATAACAGCAGCAAAAATAGCTGTTTTCCTTTCTCCTCATGTATGGGGAAAGTCTCATCTCTGATGTAGGTTGTGTCTCATCAGCTTTTTCTGCTTCCAAAATTGCTGTCTTGTTGGGTTCAGATGTCAAATGCCAAACTTTGACTTTGGACTCCAAGGGATGGGAGAAAAGGATTATTAGAACATTCAGAAACAAAGGTAACAGAAAGAAGGTACAGAAGTCATCCAGTACAAGTAGTTTCTAATTTTTCCTAAAACAATTTTGTATAAAAGAAATATAGAAGCTTGTTCCTACAGTATCTATACAAAATTTCTCCATCTATTTTGGAAATCCTACAACGAACTTGGTCAGAGATCAGGTTCTTTACCTGCTTCTGACTTTGAAAAAGAAGAGAAATAGTGGTGGGACGGGGAAGGAAGAAAACTTGAGGAAGGCATTGGAGACATCAGCAAAGGAACTTTTACAGGAAGTTGTTACCCTATCTATACACATTTGTGTAGATTATAGACAGGCAATTTGGGCTGGTGAATAAGAGAGCCAGCTCTGGAGGAAGCTTCACATCCTGCCTGCCGAGTGACCCTGGGCCAGAACACGTCTTAGTATTTTAGAGATCTCTTTAAGATTTTAAGTTACAAAGAAGGGTGTTGACCTACATTGGTAGAGGGATTTCCTTATTTGTTAGTTCCCTATTTCAAAGAAATCACAAGTGTAGTCCCTTTCTCTATGAATATCTATGTATTTTCATATAAAACATACATAATACATACACACACACACGCGCACACACACACACACACACACACACGAACATGTGCATCTTTTTAATCAGAAGTCAAGCTCTGAGGTCCCTGTTTGAATTCTGAAAAGCGAGTAAAGACATAATGTTACTAATTGCAGGTTGGTTTGGTTTTTTTTCTTTGCTAAGCAGGCATCTTCAGGAAAACCAGTTGCTTCGAAGGCAAAAGGAGAGCCCTGAGAGATATGGACTTGAACAAAGAGGTTTTTTAAATACTTGCTCCCTCACTAATAATTCTGTGCATGTAAAACGGGAGGCTATTTGGAAAGCTAGGGCACATGGTTGCGTTTTAAATGATAACGATACCTTACATCTCTATTTGGAGCAGTAAGTGACAGGAGCAGGGGTGTGCTGGTAAATGTTTAACAACCAGCTTTCGCTTTCCCCAATGCATCACTGTATACTTTTAAGTTTAATCTGCATTATTAACATTTTATCACTTTCTTAAGAATAGACAATCAATAAAACATCAAGCCCTGATTTGTAGTGTTCGATGATTTATGAGGTGTAAACGCTCACATTAAAAATTTAGTAATCTGCTCGAGAACTTCTCCAGCATACCCCTGGTGGAAGTCTTATAGGAGGAGAAGTAGATGACAACTTCCTTTCCCAAAGCTTTAAGGGCAGAGCTGAAAAAAATAGAGGCTTCTTTAACGGGACAGGATACTGGAAGTCTGGCACCAATAGGTTAAAATTATTTGTTCGGGCTCAGACTTGAAATGTTTGGTACGGGAACTTGGAGACCTTGGGCTCTGATGGCACAGACTTTGAGAGAACCCAGTCGATCCCATACTGTGATGCAAAGTGACTGCATACAGCAGGTGCTCAATAACTTCTTGAGTGAAAAAAGTGAATGTCCTTGCCTGGAGAGACACGTCTAGCACTTAATGATTCCCTTTATTGTCTTCTAACTACCTCCCCTCCCCCTACCCCCTTAACTTGCACTTTCCATTTCCCTCAGATAAGGGAAAGGGGTAGCCTGGGGGAATCTGGAACTGGTAGAGAATTAGGATTTGTAAGTGACCTAACGATCACTAGGAGAACCCTGGCAGACAGTTAGGAGTCTATATTTGTTTGCATGTTGTTTCTCCCATTAGACGGTAAGTTTCTTGAGGCCAGGGCCCATTTTCTTTTTTGCCTCTTTCTGTATCCCTAGCACTAAGCACAGTGCCTGGTGCATAGTAGGCGCTTCCTAAATGTTTATTGATTGATTAGCCAAGCCCCCCCCCCCCCCACCACCACACACCTGTGTACTCTTCTTAAGCAACGGAATTTTTAATAAAAGATAGTAGCTGAAGTTAGCAGGGTAGGGAGCTGTTCTCTGATTTCTTTCTTCTCCATTTTCTCCTCTCTGCTAGTATCCAAAGGAAATGATAGAATGACTTGGCCTCTGGGGAAGGGTCTAGGGTGGGGCTCGAGCACGGAGGTTTCCTTATTTGTAGGAAGGAGGGGAGGGGAAGTGATGGAAGGGAGGAGGAACAGAAGTCTGGGGGACAGAGATACACCAAAAGTATTTGACTGGAGGGGGATGCAGGTGGAGCTCAGGTTGGGTGGTGGTAGCCATCAGTGAGGGGGAGGGGTGCAGAATGGAGACCAGAGCGTACCAAAGGCCCCAGAACAAGGGCTAGGGAGAGGTCAGTGGAGGGAGTGGGCATAAGGCATGGTCCCACAGGAGGGGTCAGTGCGGAGAGTGGGATCTAGGGGCAGCCCTAGAGCATGGAGTGAGAGGTGTCAGAGGCATCAGTGGGGCCTGGGCTCGGAGGCAGGGCCTGGTGCAAGCTCTCTCGAGGGTAGAACTCCTCTATGACGCTCTGGGGTATCCGTTTGAGCATCTCTTTGGGGAAGATGCGTAACAGCTGCCAGCCAAGGTCCAGGGACTCAAACACGCTGCGGTTTTCGTAGGGGCCTGGGGAAGAGGGGGAGAAACCTAGAAGGGGGCTGACACAGGCTCAGACAGATGTTCGCCCCCCTCTTTCTCAATCCTTCCGGGGGACCCCTCCTCCCCCCAAGTCCTCCTACCCTGGTTGATGAAATTCTTCTCAAACTTCTGCAGAAACTCAAGGTACAGCAGGTCATCCGAGGTCAAGGCCTCCTCCCCCACCACGGCCTTCATGGCCTGGACATCCTTCCCAATGGCGTAGCAAGCGTACTGCAGGGAGGGAAAGAGATGGATAGGGCTTGAGGTCTGAGCCCCTGGACATTCAGCCGGTCTCTTAGAGAGGCTGGCACAGGGCGACTTGAGGCTTTGGAAGTCTTTCCTTCCCTTTCCCAAAATTCCCTCCCTATAACCTTACCTTGGGTTTCACAGAATTTCAGAATTTGGACTTCCCTCAGAAGTCAGCTAATCACAGGGTTGGGAGCTGGAAGGAACCTTAGATAGGGAGCATCGTGCAGTCAGGAAGACCTGGGTTCCAATCCTGTCTCAGACACTTACTAGCTTGTGTGACCCTGGGTCAGTCATAACCTCTCTGGTTCTCTTCTGTTAAGTGGAGGATTGTATTCTATGACATCCAAGGATCCTTCCAGCTCTAAATCCATGATCCTGGCTGATCTAGCCCAACTCCCCTGAATTTCCAGATGGAAAAGTTGAGGTTCAGAGAATAAGAATAACTCACAGTCAACAAGCATTTAAGTATTTAAGTTGTGCTAAGCCCTGACAGTATGAAGAAAGGCCTAGAAGTACTCTACCTTGAGCAAAGAACCTCAGCTCAGGGGGCTAGGTAATAAGTTAATCATTATCCCCAGTTCACAGATGATGAAACTGACGTTCCAGAGGTCAGTCAGTCAGTCAATAAACACTTATCGTCACGCCCAGGCTTACGCAGTGACCAAGTATCAGAATAGGACTCCAACCCAAGTCCCCTGACTATATATTCCGGGAATCTTTCCATTACGTTGTACTGTCTTTCCCTTCCATTCTATTCCATCAATCAAGGTCTCCCAACTAGTTAGTGGCTGCTCATTTGCCTCACCAGAGAGAATATCACGAACTCTACAGACTTGCAGGTGAATTGACCCAACCTTTCATGTGCCCTAAGCCATACATGTGCTTATATATGTATTCTTCGTGGAGGTATCCTCAACACATCTGTTCCTGGCAAACTCCCATCAGTCCGTCAGTAAGTCAACAAGTATGAGGCTCCAGGCACTGATGTGTTACCCAGGTGTGTGCCCACTTTATCTATTCCCAGGTCACAGGTGCTCATGTAAATACCTTCCATGCATATTCCCTGGCAACGTGTGTACTCTGCATATGTACCTTCCTCCACTGGCAACGTGGGGAGGTACACCTTGTGAACATTATGCAGGGTATATTTTCTTGCCATTTAATTTGTTATGTTGTTTAATTAAATGTCTTTTGCCTTGAATCAATGTGGCATCTGGTTGACTGGTAAAAGGAAAATATGTTGGTGGGCTTGTGAGCTAGATGAATATAATGAACCTGGCATATGGGATAGCTTTTTTTTTTTTGGATGGGTCCTGTGGTGGGGGGGCAGCAAGTGCTATACTGGTCATAGAATCATAGATTTAGAGTTGGAAAGAATCTTAGAAAAGACTGAATAGGAAAAATTCAGAGAAATTTGAGAAGATTTCTAAAAACTATTTTTTTTCCTATTAAACATATTTTCACATTAGTCATGTTGTAAAGAAGAATTAGGACCAATCGGAGGAACCACAAGAAAGAGGAAACAAAACAAAACAGAAGACAAAAAAGAGCAAATAGTATGCTTCCATCTACAGTCATAGCATTTTCCATCATGAGACTTTTGGAGATGTCTTAGATCCTTGTATTGCTGAGAAGGGCTAAGTCTATCAAAGTTAGTCATCTCATAATGTGACTGTTACTATGTACAAAGTTCTCCTGGTTCTGCTCGCTTCACTCAGCATCAGTCCAAACAAGTCTTTCCAGGTTTTTCTGAAGTCCACCTGCTCATAGTTTCTTATAGCACAATATCATTCCATTACATTCATATACCACAGCTTATTCAGCCATTTCCCAATTGATGGGCATCCCCTCAATTTCCAATTCTTTACCACCACAGAAAGAGCTGCTGTAAATATTTTTGTACACGTGTGTCCTTTTCCCATTTTTATGATCTCTTTGGGATACAGACCTAGAAGTGAGTCAAAATTTATGCATATTTTTATAGCCCTTTGGGCATAGTTCCAAATTGCTCTCCAGAATGGTTGGATCAGTTCATAACTCCACCAACAGTGCATTAGTGTTCCAGTTTTCCCACATCTTCTCCAACATTTATCATTTTCCTGTTTTGTCATGTTAGCCAATCTGATAGGTGTGATGTGGTACCTCAGAGTCGTTTTGATTTGCATTTCTCTAATCAATAGTGATTTAGAGCATTTTTTCATATGACTATAGATAGCTTTATTTTCTTTATCTGAAAACTGCCTGTTCATATCCTTTGACCATTTATCAATTAGGAAATGACTTGTATTTTTATAAATTCGACTTAGTTCTCTATATATTTTAGAAATGAGGCCTTTATCAGAGACAGTGGTTGTAAAAATTCTTTCCCAGTTTTCTGCTTCTTTCCTAATCTTGGTTGCATTGGCTTTGTTTGTACAAAAACTTTTCAATTTAATGTATTTTTTTTTTTTTTTTTGGCTAGGCAATGGGGTTAAGTGACTTGCGCAGGGTCATACAGCTGGTAAGTGTTATGTGTCTGAGGCCAGATTTGAACTCAGGTCCTCCTGATTCCAGGGCTGGTGCTCTATCCATTGTACCACCTGGATGCCCCTTTTCAATTTAATGTAATCAAAATTATTCATTTTGCATTTCATAATGTTCTCTATCTCTTGTTTGGTCATAAATTCTTCTGTTCTCCATGAACCCAACAAGTAAACTATTCCTTGCTCTCCCAGTTTGCTTTGTAGTATCAGCCTTTATATCAAAATTGTGTACCCATTTTGACTTTATTTTGGTATATGGTATAAGATGTTGGTCTGCCTAGTTTCTGCCATACTGTTTTCCAGTTTTAGCTCACTTCCATTGAGCTAGATTGCAGCTCTTCTGTAGCTTAGTAGATGGTCTAAAAGCGGTAGTTTGGCCAAAAATTTTCATTCCTCTATTGGCTAATCTGGTGATTTAAAAATTTTAATAAGCATTTATTAAGTGACTACTATGTGCTAAGGGTTTTATAAAAATTATCTTATTTCATCCTTACAACTATTTTGTGAAGTAGGTGCTATTACCACCCCCCTCTTACAGATGAATAAACGGAGGCACGTGGAGGATAAGTGATTTGCCTAGGGTCATGTGGCTGGTAAGTGTCTGGGCAGGATTTGAACTCAGGTCTTCCCGACTCTAACTTTTGGACTCTCCACTCCACCACCTTGCTGCTCCTGATGAGTCTCTCTGAAGGTCAGTATCAGAAGCTTGCCCAGCTCAAGTTGTGCTGGTGCAGCCTTTAAGAACCCAGAGTCATGACCACGCTCATAGCCGTGACAAGATCTCAGAGGAAGAAGGTATTAGTTAAAGGTCAACTCCATCCCCTAAACAAACGAAAGACTTTGGAAAAGGGCGTCTATCGTCGTGGACATGTAGCAGAGCTGAGCCCTCTGTACTCTGAAATGGAGTAATCAGCGACTCTGCACCTGGCCTGTTCCCCAGCGTCCTTTCCTTACCAGCTGGTTCGAGACGTCACCGTGGTCCTTCCTTGTCATGCCTTCGCCAATGGCTGACTTCATCAGACGGGAGAGGGAGGGAAGCACGTTGATGGGAGGGTAGATCTGAGGGAGTAGAAAGGGATAACGGGTTAGGATGGAGCAGAAAGGGAAGTGGGGAAACCTATTCAGCACCAATGAGCAGTGACCACCCTCCTGGATTCTCTCTAGGTCTGGTGACACCACTGGTGCCTCTTTCCACTCTGTATAAATCCTGAGTGTACAAAGTTGTTGGCTGACTTCTCCTTTAGAAGAGGGGAGTGCCTCTAGTGTGAACCTGATTTTGCCTTTCTTTTTATCTCCAGAGTCTAGCACAGCATGTGGCACACAGTCAGTGCTTAATAAATGTTTATTGACTGGCTGATAGCTCAGTGAATGTCCTCTCCCCATTGGTCAAAGATAAGAAGCCAACTGGATGGCTTATGAGTGGGTTAATTTTTTGGCCTCAGGATTCTCTTTTTCTAATCAGGATGAGGTAGGGGAGGAGAGGAAAAAGAGAAAAGACATATGGCTTTATTCCCAAATTCTAGGCCATTAGAACACACTGATGTTTTGGGGAGCTGGGAGAATGCCATTTTCAGGAATGGAGTGAGTGCTGGATTTGAAGTCAGAGGCCCTGGGTTTGAATCCCGACTCTGCCATTTACTAACTGTGTGATTTTGGGCAAGTTCCTCAACCTCTCTTGGCCTCAGTTTCCCCACTTGTAAAAGGAGGGAGCATCACATCCTTCCTATGACTATATCCCTTCTCTTAACTGACTGTGGAAATGAGGCGTCTACTTATAGTTATCCCTCTGAGTGGTTCAAAGACCATGTGGGCTGGGAGAGAAAAGCAGCATCGAGCAGGAAGAACACCAAGGGGAGGGAAGCTGCCGGTACCTGTCTGTTGTGCAGTTGTCTGTCCACATAGATCTGTCCCTCGGTAATGAAACCAGTCAGGTCAGGGATGGGGTGGGTGATATCTGGAATAGAGAGTTTGGACGTTAGTGGGACTGGGAACCATGTTTTCCCCTTCAGACCAAACATCTCCTCCAATGAATAGCAGAGGATCATAGATTTATTGGAGTTGGAAGGAACTTTAGAAGACACCTAGTTCAACCCTCTTTATTTTACAAATGGAGAAACCAAGGCACAGGGTGGTCAAAGGACTTGTCAATGTTCTCCAAGGCTGACTGCCTTGGAGACAACTGATTCTGGGTAGGAGTGGGGGGTGGGACTTAAGCAAGGGGAGAGATAGCAAGGGAAATTGTTTGGGGTGGGGAGGAAGCTGGCAGGCAAGTCCTCACCATCATTGGGCATTGTGAGAATGGGGATCTGTGTGATGGAACCTCCCCGGCCTTCCACTCGGCCTGCCCGCTCATAGATGGTAGCCAGATCCGTGTACATGTACCCAGGGAAACCACGTCGGCCAGGTACCTCCTCCCTGGCAGCTGAGACCTGGATGTGCCCACCACAGACAGCAGAGAGAGACATCAACTCAGAGAGAGTCACCCAGAGACAAAGCAGACATGGGAATAAATGGAGACAGAGACAAGAGACAGAAATAGCAATAGAGAGGCAGGAAGAGAGATAGACCAAGGCAGATACAATAGAAAAGCAGAGAGATAAATAGAGAAACAAGAATAGAAAAATTTGTCAACGGGGTTGAGGTCCACCATCTGTCTCTTCTCCCAGAGTTCCTGGATTCAAGGAGGGATCGGAATGATGCCTTCCTACTGCCTCCCTGCCCATTCACCACCCCCTACACACACACTCTGGTGCCTGTCCCCTCCCCCCAGCCCCCAGCCTCACCTCTCTCAGGGCCTCTGCATAGGAGCTCATGTCTGTTAGTATGACTAACACATGCTTCTCACATTGATAGGCAAGGAACTCAGCTGTAGTCAGGGCCAGGCGGGGTGTGATGATCCTTTCGATCCTAGGGGTATGAGGGGTGGAGAAGGGAGTTAAAGAACTCAGGTTTAACCTGGGCTTCTGGGCATGTGCAGTTTGGGTCAGAGAACTGGGTGAGGTTACCTCCGTAGTTCCAATTCAATTCAATTCAGTTGAACAGAATAAGCACCTGCTATGTTCCAGGCACAGTGCCAAGGCTTAAGATACACAGACAAAAACATAATTGACCCTTTAAGAAGGTTGCCTTGGTTGGGGGGATACAACATTTGCTAAGGAATGTTTTTCTTCATGGATGGGACTTTCTTTTGGATGTGTTTTCCTTGGTAGAGGACATACCTTCCACCCATGCTAACTGGCCCCTGCTCTGTAACCATTTAATCTTAGCGAGCTGCCTGAGCCATTGAGAGGTTGAGTGATGTACCTGGGATCTATATCAGAAGTGGGACTTGAACCCAGGTGGGCAGCTAAGTGGACTTGGAGTTGGGTAGACCTGAATTCAAATGCTACTTACTAGCTGTGTGACCCTGGGCAAGTCACTTAACCTCTGTCCGTTTCAGTTTCCTCTCCTATAAAATGCACCTACCTCCAGGGTTGTTTTGAGGATTGATGAAGTAACACATGTAAAACTTTTGACAAACTTGAAGTGCTATATCAATGTTAGCCATTATTGTTTCTTGTTCCAGGCTGGCTCTATCTACTTTGCCATGGTGACTTTCTGGTTACTCCAAAGCAACACAGGACAGTCAAGAAAGGCTGGATGTGGGAAGAGGGGGGACAGGAGGGGGAGGAGTATGCTGCAGACACGGGGAGACATCTGAGTCAAGACTTGGAGTTTGATGATGGGATGTCTCGTATTGGCTAAAGGTCAGTTTGACGGTTTAAACACGTCCCTTCCCACAACCCCCAAACTGGAAAGTCCGGGAAATGGGAAGCTGGTTGAAATATAGTGTCTTCCTCACAATGGAACATGCTATCCACTTCTGGATAGAGAGCTGAGGAACTCGCTGGTCAGACTGCAGCAGACTTTCTCCTCTCTCTTTTTTTCTGTTTATTTTTTCCTCTTCTTTTTGGACATAGCTCATGTAGGAATTGGTTTTGCATGACCGTACATATTAGTAATGGCTTTTGTCTTTCTTGCCTTCCCAATGAGTGGAGGAGGGCGAGGGAGGAGGAATTTGGAACTGAAAATCAAAATGAATCCGTAGTGGGACATGGCACTGAGGTTTTGTGGCTTATTCCAGCAGCATTCAGAGCCTCGGGTGTAATAGTAATAGCTGGAACTTGTAAGGTACTTTACGCATGTTACTTCATTTCAGTCTCACAATAACCTGGTGAGGCAGAGGCTGTGCGTATTACTGCCCCACTATACAGATGAGAAAACTGAGGCTTAGACAGTCTCAGTGACTTGTTCATAGTCACACAACTAGTAAGTGTTGAAGAGAAGAGGGACGTGAACGTGGGAATGCCCTGTACTCTCTGCTTAGAAGGCAGATAAGATATGTTTGCTATTTGCTAGGTAGAGGGGCACAAACCAGTGCTGTTGAGGCCAGGGAATCCTTTGCCCATCTCCAGGAGGGGAGGATCAGTAGCTGCAGAGACTGGCCATTGGCTTTCACCCTGTTGTGTGGGGACTTGGAAGAAACCCCAGTCTCGGGAAACTCCTGGGAAGGGGGGGAGAGTTTCCCTCAAGCGCTAGGACTGGAAGGCAGGTCTTGGTGCTGCCTCCACACCCATCGCCCTAACCACTGTGCTACACTGCCTCTCATTGATAAGATGATGGAGAGCGGGGGTGACCTAGAGATGGGGACCAGCAAGGCTAGAGTGTCCAAGGGACAAAGGAACATGTATCCAGAGGTGGAAAGCAGTGTCTTGTCTGACTTTGAAGGGAGGGGAGAAAGGAGACAAGCAGAGTTCTGGATGAGAATAATAACTCACGTTTATATAGTGTTTTAAGGTTTGCAGAATGGTCTCCATATATTATCTCATTTAATCCTCAACCTTGTTATTATTGTAGCAAATGGGTGATATTATCAATGGAATCTCAGAGAAGGAGGCTGAGGCTGAGAGAGAGGCTGTGACTTGCCCAGGGTCACACAGTTACTAAGTGGCTGACTCCGGTGCTGCAAGCCGTCACACCATCTGGGAGATGCTTCAGCTACTGGTAGCGTTGCTAAGTCACGACCACTCCCGGGACCTGAGCTGGAGTCTAGCTTTGCCCCTGACTCGCTGGATGATTCGGGGGCCTCAGTGTTCTCCTTTATAAAATTCGAGGCTTGAGCTTGATGGTCTCTGACGTTCCTGCCAGCTCTCCATCTGTGATCCCATGATCCCTAGAGGCAGCGCGATGTCATAGAAAGAGTACCAGCCTCAGACCCAGAAAGACCCAGGTCCAAAGTCTGCCTTCGACCCATGCAGATTGAGTGACCCTGGGCAAAACTCGTTCTCTCGCAATGGTCTGTGAAACTCTCTGAGACCAGGAGCTTCTCTACAATAGTAGAGGGACTTTCCTCACCTGGGAGTTCCCTTTGTCAATGCTTCAGTCCTAGGTCCAGTCTCTCTCACTACCTAGGGTCTCTAAGGTTTCTTCCAGCATGCACACTCTACGGTTCTGTGGTGCGCACGATCCTGGACGGCAGTGGTCATAGCCCAAGTCTTATGTTTGGAAGCGATCTCCGCCAGCCTCCCTCAGGAGAAAGGTGCTAACCCTCTTATTTCTCTCAAGGGATTGTTAGCTCTTGCAGGGCAGGGACCTCTTCTTCTCTAAATTTTGTATGCCGTTGTGCTGAGTGCATAGGAGACACTCAGTGAGTGAGTTTTGAGAGAGAAAGAGAGACAGAGACAGAGACAGACAGAGACAGAGAGACCAAGAGACACACACAGAGGGAGACAGAGATAGAGTATAGAGACAGAGAGAGACAGACAGACAGAGAGACAAAGAGAGACAGAGACGGAGAGAGACAGAGAGCGCATCAGAGACAAAGACAGACAAAGTCCAAGTTCCATCCTAGGAAACCTCAGAGAGTTCGGAGCCTTTTAATACGTATGGGCCGGGTGGGGAAAAGGGTTCCAAGGAGTTAGGGGGCTCACGTGGGGTCGTTGGCCAGGTTCAGGAACAGGCAGACGTTGCCCATGGTGCCATTCTGCTCAAAGTCGCACTTGAAGAATCGAGCCGTCTCCATGTTTACCTGGTCATAGAGTGGGGGAAAATCACAGATGAGGTGGAGACAGGAAAGACGATAGCTCTCTCCCTCCCCACTGGATGATAGGATGGAAAGAAGGAGACAATATATCTGTTTTTTCAACTGGGACTGTTAAACTAAGGTGATGATTTTCTGAAGGTCAGGGGCTGGATGTGCATTTTTCTGTGGCGTCCTCAGAGCGTAGCTGAGCCAGCCTTGAAGCAGATGGGGGTTTGGCAGGTGTGAAGGGCAGCTGGGGAAGTGGGGTTTGTGAAGCGGAGGCGGGGCGGTGCCTGCCCATCTATCCCCCTGATCCTTAGCCACGCCTCGGTTGCTTAAACTGAGAGCTGGAGCTATGATGTCACCTAGGAACCCTGGCCCACCAGTTGTCCTTGCTGACTAGACGCTAAGCTCTGTGGTTTCTATGCGCTGCAGGACCAACCGCTAGTGCGGTCCGTCCCCTTTCAACTCGGCCTCACCATCCTGGAAGCCCCGTCGCCACGCCTTAGTTACAGTTCTGCTGAGAGCTATGGCCGAAGTTCCAAGCTTCCCCAGCCTGGCTTCCGCTTGCTCCCTACAATTATCGCCTCTCCCTTAGCTTCCACTTTCCCCGGGCTATACTGGAAGCCATTCTCTGCTAACTTCGCTTATCTCCAAGACCTTCTTTCCTCTTTTTCTCTTTCCTTCTAAGCTGGCTGGAGCCACCCATCACAGAGGATCCCTTCCCACTGACACCATCACGCCCCCCCCCCCCCCAACCTGCCCCATGAACGTCTCAGACCCACTTTCTGATTTGCTCACCCCCATGGCTGCAAACACAATGGCAAAGTTATCTTCATGATAATCAATGACATCCTTAGACTTTTTCACCAGCCCCGCCTGTCGGCAAATCTGTGCAGCGATCTATTAGGGGGGAGAGAGACAGAGAGACAGACAGAGGGCATTAGCATCAGAACGTGGGGTGTCCATGTTCCATCCCAGGAGACGTCAGAGAGTTCAGAACGCTTTTATTTATTTATTTTTTCAATTTATTTAGTATTTTATTTTTCCCCAGTTGCATGGAAAAAAATTTTAACATTCGTTTTTAAAACTTTGAGTTCCAAATTCTCTCCCTCCTCCCTCCCCACACCCCACCCCTCATTGAGAAGGCAAACAATTTGATATAGGTTATACATATGTAGTCATGCAAAACATTTCCAGAACAGTCATGTTGTGAAAAAAAAAGACAAAAAAACCCTCAAGAAAAATAAAGAAAAAAAAAGTATGCTTCAGTCTGTATTCAGACACCATCAGGTCTTTGGGAACAGATAGCATTTTTCATCACAAGTCCTTCAGAGTTGTCTTGGACCACTGAACTGCTGAGAATAGCTAAGTCAGAGCCCTTTTAACATGCTGTATCATGTCTCATCATCTTTGGCGGGAAGACTGAAGCTCAAAATGAAGTCAAGAGTTATAAACCACACAACAATAAAACATATGTGTATGTGTATTGGTATTTGGGGATAAGAATGACTAAATGATCAGATGGAGAAACCAAGGCATGCTCAAAGGATGGAATGGATTCTGCCTTGGGGGAGGTTGACATTTTCCTGTTAAAGAATGGAGCCCAACTGCTGGTGGGGTAGGGGAGCATGACCTGGACCCAGACCTTAGCTCTGCTATGTATGAGGTATATGATCTTGGGAAGGCCATTTTTCCTCTCTGAGTTTCAGATTTTTGTTTTTCAATCTGTGCACTGAGAGATTTGGACTAGATATTCCCTAATGGCCCTTAAAAACAGTAGGTGAAACTTAAAGGAAGCTTATGACAGAGTGAGTATCTGCTGCAGTTGGAGTCAGGAAGCCCTGAGTTCAAATCCTGCCTCAAACACTTACTAGCTGTGAGACTCTAGGCAAGTCACTTAATCTCTGCCTACCTCAGTTTCCCACTCTGTAAAACAGGAGAAAATAATAACACCAACTTCACAGTATGCTATTTCGAGGATCGAAGGAGGTGACAATAAAGTGCTTCACAAACCTTAAAGCACAATATAAATGTTAGTTATAATAAATAAATAATGCATTATAACAAATAAATATATTTAATAATATAATATATAACATAAGAAATAATAATGTATAATAATAAAATAATATATTGTAATAAATGAATGAATGAATGAATGAACAAATAAATAAATAAATGAAAGCAATAATAATGATTCCTGATTCCAGGCCAGCTCTCTGGCCACAATGACATTATGATATGATATGATATATGTTATTATGTGATGTAATACAATACAATTAATATATATAAAACATACTACAAAAATGACAGCTTTTATTATATGGCACTTTAAAGTACATAGAAAGCTTTTGTGCATTTTTTCACTTGGTCCTCATAGTAACCTAGTTAGGTCAGAACTATAGGTATTCTTGTACCCACTTCACATTTGTGGAAACTGAGGATGGAAGAGAATAGATCACCTCCATAGGATCACACAGGTAATAGGAGTGAGAGGCAAGATTTGAACCCAGGTCTTCCAGACTCCCAACCAAACTATTTTTTACTATGCAGAACTGATATACTGATAAACCTAAGGACCTGTATTGGGACCCAGGAAGCATCCAGGGCTTTTGTGCATCCTAGAGGAAGAGGGAGGCCACGACACTAGACTTGGCCAGGGTCAGACAAGCTGTGAAGCTTGGCACCACCCCTGGGGTTCCCCCGGGAGTGCCAGGGATGCCCAAATGGACACCAGCCTAGCTCTTCTCTTCTTACCTCATTGTGGGGGAGTCCCGCTGCAGAGAAGATGGGGATCTTCTGGCCCCGGGCAATGCTGTTCATGACATCGATGGGTGAGATGCCAGTCTGGATCATCTCCTCAGGGTAGATTCGGTTGTGGGGGTTGATTGGCTGACCTGGGGTGAGAAGGTGGGGGGAACACAGGAAAGGGATGAGATGGGTTTTGGATGGGATTTGCTTTGTCCACTAGGCTCTGAACCTGAGGTCCTTTCTTGATTTGACTGTCTGTATTCTAAGGTCTCTTACAGTATTGACATTTTATATTCTAAGGCCCTTTCTGGGTCTAGGATTCAATATTTTGCTGTGTTGTTGTAAGGGTCAAGGACGTCCAAGAGAAGAGTGAAAGAATGCAACCCCTCCCTTCTTTGCTGAGGTTGGAGGTGGGGAGCCCTATGGTGGGACTGGAAAAACAGACTTTGGAGGAATGACCACACTTTTATCTGCATTGTTAATGGTTTCTCCATCATTCTTAAATCTAATCCAAGGGTGGGGACCTGTGGCCTTAAGGCCACACATGGCCCTCTAGGTCCTCCAGTGTGGCACTTTGACTGAATCCAAACTTCACAGAACAAACCCCCTTAATAAAAGGATTTGTTCTGTAAAACTTGGACTCAGTCAAAAGGCCACACCCAAGGACCTAGAAGGCCACGTGTGGCCTCCGGAGGCAACAGGTTCCCCACCCCTGGTCTAGACAATCCACAGAACAATAAATCAGACCCTGATTGGGAGCATTTGCTGAGTTCCAAGGTGTAAAAACTCACACCTAGAATTGAACAATCCACTCTAGTAAGCTGGTGTGAGCTGGCTCCAGCACGTCCTGAATGCTGCCAGATATTGTTGATGTGTGGCTTCAGAGTGCTGAACAGATCTTTTCTCTTCCTTTTCTATTTTTTGTTTCAGGAGATAGATGGTTGGGCAGATGGATATATTTGGACCTGAAGAGGGTATGAAGGGCAGTTGGATATAGTACCTAGGGATGGGAAAAGAGGTCCTGAGGTCCACTCACAGCCACTGGTCACTCACCGTTGATGTCCAGAAAGTCTTCAGCCATAACCTCTGGCCCTTGGTCAATGGGTTTGCCAGAACCATTGAAAACTCGACCTAAGAAGCAGGAAGTAGGAAAAAGTCAGGGAATATAGAGAAATATTTGGAGTGCCGAAAAAATTAGGACATAAGTTAACTGTTAATTACTTAACTGTCCATTTCCCTGTCTGGACACCCTCCATCTATCCAGAGATTTTTCCAATAGTTTTCTCTCCCAATCCCTGTCCCATTTTTCACAGGGGTCTTCTGAGGACAATATTCCCACCAAGGGAACCAACTCTTATAGAGGGGAATTTCAGGGCATGGAAGAGGAAAAGGTGGGGCCATGGAAGGGTGGTAGAGAAGTGCTCTGGGAACAGATAAGGTCCTGGGGTGTCGTGTGCAAGAGGCATCTTGGGATAGTGGGAAAAATGCTTGACTAATTCAGAAGACTTGGATTCTAAGCCCAGTCCCACTAATTACTAGCTGGGTGACCTTAGGCAAGTCACTTCCTCTATGAGCATCTGTTTCCTTATCTATTAAATGAGGAAGTAATTATGCTCTTGGACAGTCCCTCCAGCTCTAATATTCTATATTCTAAGGTTTTTCCTAGGTCTGACATTTGGTGTTCCAAGGGACCTTCCAGCCCTGATAGTCTATATTCTAAGGTCCTCCCTCGATTTGATGTTCTAGGCAGGAAGGGATCTTAGAAATCATCTGGTCCTTCATTTTACAGATGGGGAAACTAAGGCCCAGAAAAATTAGATGAATTGCCCAAGGTCACACAGGTCATGAATGGCAGGTGTGAAATTTGAACCCCTGACCTCAGCCTCCAATTCTAACTTTCTTTCCACCCAGCTATGATGTCCCTGCAGTGTTGGAGGTGACTGACAATTTTGCCTGCGTTTGGAGTTGTTCATTCCTAACCTCATTCCTTACCTAGCATGTCTTCTGATACAGGAGTCCGGAGGATGTCACCAGTAAACTCACAGGTTGTCTTCTGGGCATCAATCCCTGACGTCCCTTCAAATACCTATGGGGCAAGAAGTTGATGGTGAGGGTGCTGGTGCTGGTTCTAACGACAATTATATGTGGTGTCCCCAAAGTCACTGTACAATTTTAAGCTTTAAAAGTTTAAATACCAAGTATAGTTTTAATAGCTTAAAACTGTGCCATGGTACTTTTGGGACACCTGGTATAATTGTCAGCTATCATCATCACCACTATTATTATTGTATATTACATTTCATAGGCATTTGTATGTTGTTATATGTACACAATAGTATCAAAACTTTAACATTTCCCAATTGTTTCTGATACATTTCCCTATTTAATCCTCAAACAGCTTTGTGAGATGCCTGTCCTAGGTATTATAATTCCTATTTTATAGATGGGGGAACTGAGGCTGGGAGAGATTAAGTCACTTGACCATTGGTCAAGGGTCTATGATTTTACTGAGTTGGAGACTCTTTTTACTGATGAAGATCCCAAACTATTCTATATTTGTTACTTAGTAGGGAGGTCCTTGACATTGCTGTGGGGTGAGAGGTTAAGGGACTTGTTTCTGGTCACCCAGTGACTAAATATGAGAACCAGGATCCAATTCAGTCATTGAATCCCAAAAAATATTTATTAAGTGGTTCCTCTGCCAGACATTGGGGGCTACAAAGATAAAAATGAAGCTCCTTCCTCAAGGAGCTTTGCAACCTGACTCCAACCTGCCTTTCCAGCCTTATTATCATGCATTCCTCATGTTCATGAAGTCTGTGGTCCAGCCAAACTTCTTACTTTTCTTCATACATGATATTTCACTTCCTATCTCTGGACCTTTGCCCAGGCTGTGCCCTCAGGCTGGAATGCTCTCTGCCTCTTTTGATCCTTAGTTTGTTTCAGAGCTCAGCTTAAATGTCACCTTCTCTGATCCTCCAGCTACTAGTTACTTTATAATTGCCTTTTATTAATTTTGTATGTATTTTATACATATGTTTAAGGGTTTATGTTGTCATTCCTTATAGAATGCTGTGTGGTGAGACAAGGGAGGAATATATAGTTCCTGCTCTTGGGAAACTCCCAGTGTGGTTGATGAGACATTATTCACACCAACAAAACCGTTTGAGAGCCAGCTAGAACAGTCTAGACAAGGGCTGCTTCTTGAGGAAAATTCTAGGTGCTCCTGTCAGTAGTATCAGGGGAAGTCTTCCTGGAAGAAGTGGGATTTGATCTGGGCCTTGAAGAGAGGAAGGAGGAGGGTGTTCTGGGGGAGGGTAAACCCTGTCTCCCTACCCACATGGAGTCTGCCATCTTACCTGAACAATGGCCTTGGTCCCAGCCACCTCCAGGACCTGCCCGCTTCTCTGAGTGCCATTTGGGAGAGTGAAGTTGACGATCTCAGCATATTGGGCAAACTGGGGAGAATGCAGAGTATCCAGGAAAAAGATGTGAGAGCAAGGAGGGCAGAGGGCAACACTGATCAACCACCCACTCCTTCCTGTGATATGGAAAAGAATGCATAGGGCGAGGAGTCCAGAGTTAGGGTTCTGGCACCGACTTACTGTGTGACCTTGCACAAGTCATTTACTGCTATGAGCTGCGGTTTCCTCTCTTGTAAAATTTCATCCAGTTAGAGCTAGCAGGTGCCCAAGGGAACCAGCTCATTAACTTTGCTACAAATTGGGGATTTATTTACTGTTTTGTTGATTGTTGAGACTGAAGAAAATGTAACAACAGTAATGCAAATTCAGCTGAGAAGCGTGTTGTTCATACATTTCCTCCCCTAGAGAGCTGGTTGTTAAACATTTACCAGCACACCATTGAAGGCACTGGAAGTCAGCTAGTCTCCTTCATTAAACAATTTTTTTGGGGGAGGGGGAGGTGGGATGGATTGTGATTGGCTGTGTCATTGGAGAGAACATCCCAATCAATGAGATCCCAGATCACAGACTGATCTTGAGTCTCCAAATGTCATCCTCTTCTGTAGAATTTAGATGTCTTTCCCCTACAATCACATCTGCTCTTCATAATTTGGGGTCAGGGCTCTTTCCTTTGAAAATTAAATTTTATTTTGTATCAGAGAAAATTCACTTTCTTTTCCTTCTGTCATCCCTTCCTAATTGAGAAAGAAAGAAAAATAAAACCCTGATCACATACATGTATGGTTGTAATTCCTTCATTTTATCAAGGAAGGAATATGACCAAAGAGATGTGACTTGCTGAGGTCACACAGCAAAGAAGACAGCTGAGGTTGGAGCGGAGGTCGTCTGCCTCAAGTCTCTCCCCTGCTCTGTGGAGCACCTGTTTACGCCATGGGCCCCATGTTGTAGAGAAGCAGAGTCGAGAAGGGTTTACATCCCTGCTGAGGCTCTGAGAGTTATCTAGGGAATTTCGGACCTGTCTCTGCTGTAAGGATGGTGAGGGTGTGTGTGTGTGTGTGTGTGTGTGTGTGTGTGTGTGTGTGTGTGTGTGTGTGTGTGTGTGTGTGTGTGTGTGTGTGTGTACAGTCATTGGTCTCCCCACCAAAACTGTGTCCCTTGGCCCTGGGGCTGGACTGAAGCCAGGGGTTGTTGCTTATTCTAATCACCCCTTCCCCTGCTCCCAGTGGTCTTGCCCTTGGCCACAAGAGGGTAGACAAGATCAAAGACAAGTGGGCAAGCCAGAAACCCTGAAGTCAAAAGGCTTTTCTTCCACTTGGATCTTACTCTGCCTCTGCCCTTGCTTTTGCCCTAGCCCTGCCCGCATTCCTGTCTGTCTCTGCTCCTCTCCGTATCTGTCCATCTTTCTGTCCTTGTACCTGTCCCTCTCTCTGCCCTGTCCTCACTTTACTTTGTCCTCACTCTTTTTGCCTGGCCCTGTCTCCCTCTCTGCTTCTGTACTTGACACCTTCTTTCCCTGCAAACCAGGATTTCGCTTAAAAGTTGGAAGGGAGTCTAAGGGTTATTGAGTGCAACCCCTTTGTTTTCACAAATGAGGGAACTGAGGTATAGACAGATTAAATGACTTGCCCAGTGCCAAGCAGCCAATAAATTTCAGAGATGGAGTTTATACGTGGGTCTTCCTGACTTCAGGTCCTTCACCTATCCTGCCTTTATGTCCCTGTCTTTTTCCTTGCTCTTCTCTGTTTGTCTCTGTCTGTCTCACTCACTCACCTTCCCCTCCCCCCTGCCCTTTTCTCTTTCTCCCTCCCTCCTTTCCTTCTTTGCTCCTGTGTCTGTGCTGTTCCTCTGTCTACTCCTGTCTTCCCTGTTCCTATCTCCCTCTCAGTTCTTGTCCCCGTTCTCTCCCTGCCCCCATTTCCCTCCCTTCTCCTGTCTCTGTCCATCCCTGTCTTCTTCCTTATCCTTATCCTTCTCTCAGCTCCTGTCCCTCTTTCTCTCTCTGCTCCTCTCTCCCTCCTTGCTCCGTCTCTCTCTGTCCTGTTTCTCTTCCTGTTATTTTTTCTGTCTCTTCCTGTCTTCTTCCCTTTTCCCATCTCTCTCAGCACCTGTCCCTCTTTCTCTCCCTGCCCCTGTCTTTCTCCCTGTTTCCCACTCTGCCCTTGTCCCTGCCCTTGTCCCTTTCACGGTAAAAACTGGTGCTTCTTCTACCACCCTTCACTGATAAATGGAGTGAAATCGAGACTCAGAGGTTGGGCTGGGGCTGGCAGGACAGCGCCATTTTGGGCGTGCTTCCCCAGGATATTTTCTCCCCACTAGGGAACGCATGTTCTATAGTGACTGAGCTATTTCTACAGTGTAGGGGTTGTCAGAAGATGGCGCTGTGGGGACAAACATGAAGAACCTGGAGTTTGGAAATGAAAGGGAAATGGGTTCTGGAGCATGGGTGGGGAAAGGTCTCTGTGCCAGGATCTTAGCACTGTTTACCTTCCCCCACACCCAACCCCAGTTGATCTAGGATTAGCTTGCTACTTCTTACCAAGCTGTAGTTTTGTAGGACCTTAGACCTGGAAGGTGTCTTTAAGTCTTGACCCTCTCATTTTTCAGATGAGGAAATTGAGGGCCAGAGAAAAGATTGACTTTCCCGAGGCCACACAGCAAGTTAGTAGCAGATCCAGGCAGGACTGGAACCTGGGTCTCTTGCCTCTCAGTTTAGGAATCTTTCTACTATGCCAAAAAGAGTTCCTCCTATGTTATATCATGTACAACATTTCACTGTCTGTCTCCTTGTCTTTGCACTGATTGGCCCCAATGCCTTCTTCACCTCCATCTCATAGACCCCCCCCCCAATACTCAGTTCAAATATTATCTACTCAAACCTTATTGGATTTCCCCAACTACTTATTCCTTTCATCAATTACCTCGTACTTATTCTGTATATAAATATATACGAAAATGTTGTCTCCTCTGATTGAATGTAAGCTGCCTGAGGGTAGATACTCTTTTTGTTTTTGTCTGTCTAGTGCCTAGGCAGGTAGAAGGGAGGTAATGGAGCTGGGTTATCCTTGGTCAGATGTGACTATTTCCTATGAGCTTCATGGTAAGGCTTATTTGCTTCCCAAGTCAAGAGTTCCTGAAATCTAATGGCATTGTCCCATTGAATTACATATCTATACAGACCATCATAATCATCATAATAACCCTTGGAATATATGATACTGGGCCTTGTCCACCCTGTCTTCCACTTAATCCCCCACAGGGCCCTAGGAGATTGTCAGTATTGACTCAACTTCATAGGGGAGAAAATGGAAGTCCATAGAAGGCAAATGACCTACTCAGGGTTACCCATGGAGTCAGTGTCAGAGCTGGGAGTAGAAATCTTGACCCTTCCCCTACCTCTCAGCCCAGGGCTCTTTCTACTATACCATAAGAGACTTATTCACTGTGATAGATTTATTCTTCATGACTTGTTACCTTGGCATCAAATGGAGGATAAGGGGAGGTATTTTGTGTGTTTGTCAGGGACTGGGGAGGAAAGATGTATTGCCTTAGAATGCAGCTTTATGGGTTAGGGGGATAGGGAGGCAGAATCTAGTAGGAGCAGTAGCAGGTGTTGGGGATAGGATAAAGAATGAGGAGACAGAGATCAGGAACAAGTGAGCCCTCTCACTGCAGCTTCAAGTCAGGGGTTCAAATTCTCCTTCCATGGTCACTCCACCATCTTCCTACCTTTACATTATCCAGAACAACCAAAGGCCCATTGACACTGCACACGGTCCTATAGGCTGAGGAAGAAAACAGAAGATAGATGAATTGGCCTCAAAAACGATATTAATTAATCAACAATAAGCATTTATTAAGTGCCTACTGTGTACCAGGCAGTGTGCTAGCAGCTGGGGATAGAAAGACAAAAATGAAATAAGTCTCTGATCTCAAGGCGCTTATATTTTATTAAGGGAAACAGCTATGATCCATGTAAGTGATATTCCTGACTCCGGACCCAGTGCTCTATCCACTACATCAACAGTGTGACCTTCAGAAAGGTCAAGGAGATGATGAAGGCTGAAAAAAGTCCGTGACATTTGGTGGTGAGTGATCTCTGAGAGCAGTTTCTGGAGCATCATGGGGGGAGAAGGTTGGATTGCAATGGCTTGAGGTCAAAGTGGGTAGTGAGGAAGAGGAAGCCTCGGGTATAGACACATTTTTCAAGATTAGCTGCAAAGATTAGTTAAGTCGGGGGACAATAGTTATTCAGCAGAATGGTTAAAGGAAGGCTTTTAAGGAATGGAGAGGCTTAAGCATATTTATATTCAGATGGGAGGAAGCCAGAAGGGATGGAGAGGCTGAAAGTGCCCAAGAGAGAGGGGATGACTGACCGAACAAGGATCTAGGGGAGGCTGGAGAGAGTGAAAGCCCCAGTGCAGGAGCAGCTCAAGTTCAAATAGGAATTTTATGTGCACTGGCCAAGGACTCCCACTCCACCAACCTCCATCTCCTCCCTCTCCCTCTGAAATCTCTGACTATTACCTCCTTTCCCTTCCCCTCCCCCAGCCCCAGGTTTCTCTGCCTCTTCTTCATGGAAGGGTAGATCTAGAACTGGAAGGTAACTTTGTGATTATCTAGTCTACCACCCATTTTACAGCTGAGGAAACTGAGGATCAGAGAACTGAAGTGACTCGCCAGGATCACGCAGGTATTCAGTAACAGATCCAGGGTTTGAACCCATCTTCTGATGCCAGATCCAGACACTCCTTCCACCACGCCATGCTGTCATTCTCTCCTTCCTTGTCTACCCTTTTCATGTCTCCTCTGCCCTCCCCTCCTCTCTCCTCTTCCCTTTCCTCCTCTTTTCTTCTCTCCTCCCCTCCCCTCTCTCCTCCCTTTTCTTCTCTCTTCCCTTCTCCTCTCCTCTCTTCTTCTCTTCCTCTCCTCTTCCTTTCTTTTATCAGCCATCTCCCCTTCCCTTCCTTCTCCTCCCCACCCCTCTCTTTCACTTTCCCTTTCTCTTCCCTCTTTTCCCTCCTTCCTCCACTTTCCTCCAGCCCCCTCCCTCCCTCAGTTCTTCCTTCCCTGCTCATCCTACTCCTGACAGCTCGGGTGCATCCAGGCCATTAGCTGTGACAGGGGCAGCCACCATTGCTGTAAGGGTCATGCCCTCGACCAGGGCCCCTCCTCACCCTGAACACCTGCGGGAGGCTGGGGGAAGGGGCGCAAGGCCTCCCATAGCTCTCATTGGCTGGGCCCTTCACAGCTCACCACTTCCAGAATTAGAGAGGGCTTTTTAATCCCCAGGGGGTTGCTTCCTCCCTTGCCCTCCCTTGCCCCCTCCAGCCTCAGCAGCTATAGCCAACTCCTCCTCCCTCTCTGCACTGTGGGAATGACTCAGGCTCCCAACCCAGCCCAGCTCAACCCAGCCCTACTCAGCCTCTGACACTGGACTTGGGCATTTCATTCCTAAGTGGTTGACTATTGTTTCTGTATACCCGGCACCTACCACAGAGCCTGGCATGTTGTAGTCCTTTAACAAATGCCCCCTGAATCAAACTGACTAATAATGAGATTAAAATAGAGGACAGAAAGTCAACATGGACAGAGAATTGTCCTCTAAGCTGGGAAACATTGGTTCAAATCTTGCCTTTGACATATACTGACTGTGTGACCAAGGGCAAATCATTTAACCCCTCTGTGCTGCCAAGGAACTTTTTTTTTTTTTTTTTTTTGGCTAGGCAATGGGGTTAAGTGACTTGCTCAGGGTCACACAGCTAGTAAGTGTTATGTGTCTGAGACTGAATTTGAACTCAGGTCCTCCTGACTCCAGCGTCGTTGCTGTATCTACTGCGCCACCTAGTGGCCCCCCAAAGAACTTTCTAATGTTATACTTTGTTGACAAGTTGCAGATCAGTGTTAGTGGGCGGGAGTTTCCATACTGGGACTTACTCATATCAATCACAGCACAGGTCGGGACCTAATAATAATAGAGGACACTTACAACCTCAAAACACTTTGCATAAATTATTTCTTTGGAGTCCCATAAAACCCTGGGATGCAGAGAGTAGAATTCTCTTATCCATTTTATAGATGAGGATAGATAGATGATATGGATAATAGATAGGTAGATAGATGATAGACTAATAAATAGAGATGAGTAGATAGATGATATAGATATAGGTAGATAGTAGACTGATAGAGATAGGTAAATAGATGGATAGATAAATGGATAATATAGATAATGGATATTTCTTCATATGTAGCATGAGCTGGAGAAGGAAATGGCAAACCACTCTAGTATTTTTGCCAAGAAAACCCCAAATGGGGTCATGAAGAGTTGGACAAGACTGAAATGACTGAACAACAATAGATGATGGATAGGTAGATAGATGATAGACTGATAGAGATAGGTAAATAGATAGGTGGATGGATGGATGGATAGATAGATAGATAAATAGATAGATAGATAGATAGATACATAGATAGATAGATAGATAGATAGATAGATAGATAGATGATAGATAGAGTTATGTATTAAGCCCCTAATATGTGCTGAGTGCTGGGGCAGGCAAGATAATCTCTGCCTTCAAGGATAATACATTCTGATGGGGGAAAATGATTCTAAAAGGGAAAGAGGAGCCAGAAAGGCATGTGGGGGCACCTGATGTGGAGGGGAGTGATGTGGAGGCACAGTTTCTGGAAAGAGAAGATAAAAACTCACTTAAACTGATCCCAGCTCCAAAGGGCAGTCCAACATTCCAATATGGGGTGGGAGGAGAGAACTACGGGCAGAATTATATGGAGAAGTGAGAAAACTGAGGCTTAGAAAGGTGGAATGATTGATCCATGGTCACACAATTAGGTATAGGATAGAAAACCCATTTCTTGGCCAAGAAGATTTGGGTTCAAGTCTGTCTCTGATACCTACAGGCTGTGTGACCCTGGGCAAGTTACTTTATTTCTAAGTGCTCCAAACATCTCTTTAAGACTAGAAATCAGGGCAGCTAGGTGGCACAGTGGATAAAGCACCGGCCCTGGAGTCAGGAGGACCTGAGTTCAAATCTGACCTCAGACACATAACACTTACTAGCTGTGTGACCGTGGACAAGTCACTTAACCCCATTGCCTATTCAAAAAAGAAAGAAAGAAAGAAAGAATGAAATAAAGAAGACTAGAAATGTCAGAGAAGATGCAGACTTCCTTGGTAGAGGGAGCTTCCTCTTCCCATAATTCCCTATGCCAATGAAATCATAGCATCAGTCTCAATCTCCCATCATGGAGTAAGTCTGGTACTCAGCACACAGCTGCGGCTAGCATTGAACCCAGGTCTCTCCACACCAATGTTAGTTCTACACTCATTTGCACTCCCCTTGGTGCAGGGAGGTGGCTGGTCCATGAGAAGGTCTGGACCTTAAGCACTCCTCTCCTGGGGAGGAAAAGTGAGCATTTGGAGTTCTCTAGCTAGACTCACCAATAGAGCATTTGCTGCTGGAGGCCTGAGTGCTAAAAAAAAGAAACGGGAAAAAGAACGGAGAGGCATTGAACAGTTATCACAGAGAAGAGGAATGAGCCTTGTTCTGCCCAACTCCAGAAGGGAGAGCAAGGAGCCAGGGGTGGATGCTCCAAAGAGACATATTTAAACTTGATGTCAGAGGAAATACTATCTGTTGGTTAGAGCTGTCCAAAGATGCAGTGGGATGTCTCAGAAGGTAATCAGTTCCCTGTCAATGGAGGTGTTCAAGCAAGGACTTGCTGACTACTTGTTAGACATGTTATATAAGGGATTCTTTTTTAAGCATGGGTCACACTAGGGGATCTCTGAGGTCCCTTATATTGCCAAGATTTTATAATTAGGTGTGATTCCTGAGTCAGGAGACCTAGATTCTAGATTCTGGACCCAAGTTGGATATATGACCTTGGGTAAGTCCAATACCTTTTCGGGGCTCCAATTTCCCCACCAAAGAAATAGAGGTTGGACTGACCTGATGTTTCTCAAACTGTCCTGCATGTTTGAGGGGTTCTTCAAACAAAAACACTGTGACAGTGGACTAGAATACCTGCTTTGCTACATATGTTTACATTTAGTGTGTTCATTAAGTGGATGCAGAGAAAACATTCATTAGCATCAATCACATGACCAGGACCCTGCCTCCTCACTGATCTAGAATCGTGCTGCTGATCTCTAAGAACCTCCTTACCGCCACCCTTGAATCCCACATGACCCCATCCCCCACACCAAGTTCCCCTAGTCCTGTTCCCTGCTCCACTAATAATCAATGAGCTGTGACTTCTTTGTTGTAGAAGGAGGTCTGGATTTGGAGTCAGAGGTCTTGGGTCCAAATCTTGACTCTTTTCAACACTAAGTTATGAGACCTTGGGCAGGTCTCTTCGCTCACTGGGCCTCAGTTTCCCCTGGGTAAAATGAAGGGGTTGAATGAGAAGACTTCTGAGGTCCTTTCTAATCTAAATCTTATGAGTTAAAAAGATTTGCTTCACAAGAATAGTACTTGGCCAAGGTAACTTAAAGATTTCACCCTACGTTCACTGGAAAGAAAAAAAAAATAGGGATACAGCATGGATGGAAAGTGCTGTACTTAAAGTCAGGAAGTTCTGAGTATGAATCCTGCCTGTATGACTCTGGACAAGTCACTTAACCTCTGCCTCAGTTTCTTCATCTATAAAAAGGGGATAATAATGATAGCACCTATTTTACAGAGTTGCTGCAAAGCTCAAATGAGAAAAAGTATGTAAAGAGCTTTGTGAATCTTTTTCTTTCTTTCTTTCTTTCTTTCTTTCT